GATACAATTGTTAACGAGAAATGCGCAATATCTTCTAGTTAATTAAGTTGCTTTATTTCCTTCTCATTCCTATTGATATCGTACTCAAGGATTTGTTATTTTTTTGCCTCCTCATATCAACCCATCACCGTGATGTCGCAATATAGATGACACAAGATTGGCGAATCTTGTGAAACACTGTTTGCGACGAATTCCAAAAACGCGCGCGAACTCTCTTCAACATTCGACATAGGAGCGTTATCTTAATTATTGCGAAAAACGATAAAGATAAAACGTATGCGCTTTTACAGTAATATTACGCCGCACGCACATTACGTAACGGGTGAAAGTTTCATTAGTAAAAATCGTTGAATTTTGCGTACGACCGGCGACCGGTACCTTAAATACATTTTAATTACGTCCATTGTACGAGGCCACGCATTTGTATAATTGTTATCCTGTAATACACACGCTGGGGACAATGTCCGATTAAATACGAGCGGATAATTCAATTACATAATAACAAACGGGTGTATCCGATGAAAAATATGATCAGTTTTTCAATCAAATTTCATCGGTAACATCCATAATTTAATCGGAAAACGTCATCGGAAAAATTAACCGTCGGTGACACTATTTAATTTTTTATCCGATGAAAACAGTGCAGGTGGCTCGCACATTATTATCGCTCTGTTCCAATTATAAGTTAATAGCCGTTTTACAATTAATGCCGATAGTATGCCAGGCGCTTTCCATATTTTCATTCACCGTAATAAATATTCGCATTTTGAGCGAAATGTTGATTCTACTCTACTTTGCTCACGAGACGCGTGCGGTAGCTCTGTAAAATAGTTTCATTGACCGTAATAAACATTCGCATTTGGAGCGAAATGTCGATTCTACTTTGCTCGAAAGACACTGGCGATAGCTCTGTAAAATGTCGACGAGGGGATCGTACAAAATTCGTCACGTGAAAAATTATTTCTATTTTTGCCTGCTTACAATCAACGCGTCGTAATCACGACAAGTAATCGAGACAGTCAGGACTTCGACTTCGCTTCGTTTTATCAAGCCGGAGGAAATAAGAGAGTTAAGAGTTAACATCACACATTTTTATCGACATGACGCACAAAGTTGAACAAAGCAATCGCGCGTTATCTGCTATTGTGCAGTCACAACAAGAGCTACGCATGTCTCGTTCGTCGGGTTGATAACAAGGAAACTGTACGTACGGGACTTGTCGGCCCTCTCTTTTTAATTTCTGCTGCGCGGTATACAAACGTAAAAAGAAACAAAAAAACAACAACAGTACTGTCGTACGCACGCATTTGTTTACGCCCGACCGCTCTCTAAACCGGTTTGGAAAACAGGGTATACTTGAAAAATTCTCCCTTTCGTTCTCCTCCCTTAAAAATGTATGCAACTAATCGTAAATTCATTTATGTTAATTCGTCGAATGGTTAATGAGCAAAACAGATAGCGTACGCGACACGCGACGTATCAAAGTAGCTGATAGTACAACTGCGTTGGTCATCGAATCTAATTAAAATTCTGACATCGCATGACATGTCGGCTGAGGCATTCAACTTGACCATTGATCGTCGTACAAAATACTAACGTGTCGTTCCCGGAAACATCGATTGGATAAAAGTACAATACAGCCTCATCGCGCGTACACGTTTAATCTTTTGTTCGCGTTAATTTCGGCGCGTTTCCGTCATTTTCCGAAATCTTTTATCGTCCTAGACTATTCGCTAGTTTCTGCGAAGCGTACGGCATCCCGTTATCACGTTTATCGATCTTCTGGCCCGAGTTCCTCGCCTCGAGAACGCGTTGCAGTCACGAAACTTTCTCGCGATATCCCTTTCCGCGACAGCAGACGGTCCGCCTTACGTCACGAGCGCCCGCGAGGTCGCCGACCTTGGGCATCGCGAGTGCAATTACTCTAACCAGCATGTATCCGCGGCTTTTATGCGCGGCCCATAGAAGTCCCTGCGAAGGCGAAAATGGAGTAACAAGAGCGCGGCCGCCCGCGGGTTTCTCTTCAACGACCTCGATCGTTCAACCGCGCAGAAGGAGAAAGCAATGCCGTCTCTTCTGCCACCTTCCTCTCTCAAAGCGTTGCGGTAATCCGCGTTTCGTGCACTGCGGCCCTCGATAACCCAAACAAATTCCTCTTGTTCGATCATTAAAAGGTACCAAGAAGAATATTACTGTCGCCAGTAATCGATTAAGAACAGGAAGAAAAATTGTTTAACGACGTTAACTGGCTAAGGTGGTTTAATTTAACAGTGTACTCCAACGTTTCGACCATCCGGATTGTGGTCCTTTTCGAGGAATTATCTACAAAATGAATGATCGTGTCTGGTAATTTTAATAATACAGAAAATTCTGTATTGTTAAAGTTGCCAGATACGGTCAAGAAAACCCCGATGTTGTTAATTACTGTTGGCGACATTGAAGAATATTCTTTAGTTACCCACAAAATATTGGAGAAACTTATCTGTAAGCCGTTCGTATATAACAATTGGCAGTATAGCCACCGAGAGGAAACGAGAGTGTACATTAGGAAGTACGTCGCGTAGCGCACAAAAGACTATTTTTCTTTTTCGAACACTAAAACAACTTATTCGCTGCCGTAGCTAATCATGGTTTGCTAAATTTATTTTGCTGCCGTAACTATAAGTTTCGAAGGCACAGCAAACGGTTTGCTGACGCATCTAATGCATAGATACAGTAGCAAAATATTTAGCTATCACAACTGTTTAGCTGCCACGTGCAGTTTTTAGTTACGGCAGCTACTCTTTCCGTGAACAAGATACGTTAGACGAGGTATGTTATTTCCAAATAGCTGGAGCGTTCGTTAATCTACTCTCAGGAATTTCCTTGTCTGATAATGTCTTTTAATCTCTAGACGAAATTATTTGTTTCTATCAACAGTTTAAGTAACGTATTGTTATCTCACTATGAGGAAATACAGTCTAAATAAAATTTAGTACATGGTAATAAATTGATAATAAATATTAATAAATAATATCGCTTCTCTGTTATTGAAATAAATACAGCGGTACACAGCGCGGTGACGATATAATCAGATGGAGAACAGTCACTTTACATGGCCGACATGAAGCGGATCTTCAATGTGTGCGCGTCAAGTTACGATCGCTTCAGCTATGTCGACATCTAATCGCAGTGTGCGCACGCTCTTACGCATCAGATTTCGTAATTAAAGCGTAGTGAAGACACGTCACGACATACACCCACTTTTTCTCGAGCCGCGATTGGCCCGTCGTAAATGAACCGTCGAGGACGAATCCACCAGGGCCGACAAACAAGATTGTTTTTCACTCTCGCGACTACTTCCTAGTGCGTTGCGGCCCCCGTGCCAGGAATCTAGACTGACAAAAACGAGGAAAGACACGCGAGTAGAAAGAGAGAAAAAGTATTGGTAGCGAATTCCGAATAATAACCAGACATAAACGACTGCGAAATTGCCATTTCATTACGCCACTTGTTATTTCCGGTGCTAAGAAACGAGTTATTAATTTCTATATTCCGCTCGCTTCAGTGAAAATGTACGTACAATTTTACTGCAAAATACTATAATGTATATGATATATAATTAGATAAAGAGAAATTATTATGCCTTAACATATAATTTAGACAATAGACAGAAATTCAAGAATCTAACTTGTACAAATGTTTAACACAGTTAAAATTGAAATTTATTAAAACTTCTACCCTTTGGCTAGAAAGTTTAAATAGAAACGTAAAGTAAAATCTCCTTGGAATCCAAGCATTCGTAAAACTGTGACGCAACGTGCGTTCTAAATCGTCATCGGAGTCGAAAGTTGTCAAAAACAAAAACTTGAGAAATATTTAAATTTAATTTGCAAATGCTCGTGCACATACATATATGTATAACGCAATTCACCTCGTGAATGTTATACATTGAGATTTACAGAGAGCGCCACGTAACGAGATAGTGTCTGCGTCGATAACGAACATCGGAAATCTCTCGGTAGATATCGACTTTATCTCGTTAAATAGAAATAATGAACGGATGAACGAACGAACAACATTTGCACGTATCAAACTCCATACCGGAATAAAATGCGTAATTCTAGATATTCTAACGGTTCCAGCTCCTGGTCTAACGGGATGAGAAATTTTCAAATTTAATAATAACTCAACGTAAATGATTATATAAAAGCCCTTCATATGCATATAGTTTTATCTCACATAAACAGATTTCCAGACTATTTTATCACTTCAGAACTGTCAATTTATATTGCGAGATAACGTTCAGATTGGACAACGTAACGAAACTGCGTTTCATATTATTTTCGTTGCATACTTTAGGTATTTCCGCTAATATTCTTTGTTTTTAACGAGCACGAAAGTTAACAAAGCATTATATTTTAAACTTTAAGATATTACAATAATACATGAAATACAGATCCGCGGACGCGTTTCGGCAGCGCAAAATAAGCTTAAATTTAAATTAAAAATCGGAATTAAAATTAAACGGTTGTTACATGTTTTATATAGTTCTTAGCGATTGTCCATTGTGTATTTGAGACGGGCAGATTTAGTCAGTTATATAAAAAAAAATTCGTAGCGAAATTAAAAGAAAGAAGAATAGATAACGAGATTAAAAGAACACTCGAGGCTGGACCAGTCCAAACACTCCGTGTTAACACAACATATGATAGAGCTCAATCACACATTTAATAGGAAAAATGCATCCATTTTAGACAAAGAGCCTAACTGGAGGAAAAGAATTATAAGCAAAATGAAACACATTAAAAAACAACATAATTGTATTAATTCCCAAAAGGACACGGAGCTCCTGGACGGGGCCTACACAGAATTCCTCCACAGTCTTACAAACAGTTAAAAACAAATAATATTAACATATAAAAAATTATCACATCAATATGACTAAGCATCACCTTCACACTGTTTCTTTAAACGACTCATTTCTCACCAAGACTCTGAGGAAGTAAGACCGATCAAACCATCTGGCCGTCAAAAAATACGGAACTGGTCAAGAAGGGAAACTAAGGTATTTCAAACGCATACCATTTTTAAAAAAACAAACTATTATAACAATCAACAAATTAATCTCAGCCAAATCAAACCGAATAGAAGAAGTTCTATATGGGCCATCCAACCTAGTATTATAGAACTTGGATCTGTCTCTTGACCACAACCGTGACAGCCGGCTACCTCAGCTACGAATTTTTGTTTTTATATAACTGACTAAATCTGCCCGTCTCAAATACACAATGGACAATCGCTAAGAACTACATAAAACATGTAACAACCGTTTAATTTTAATTCTGATTTTTAATTTAAATTTAAGCTTATTTTGCGCTGACGAAAGCACTGTGTACCGAAACGCGTCCGCGGATCTGTATTTCATAATATTATTGTAATATCTTAAAGTTTAAAATATAATGCTTTGTTAACTTTCGTGCTCGTTAAAATTGGCCTCTTTTATATACTTACTGTTTTTAACATAACACGAGCGACATTATTATCTGTGTTCTTTGTTTTTCTTTTATCATGCATTTGGCATAGCTGCCCGATAAAGATACGATCTAAAGGATCCACTGTTTTGATCGATTATTGCCGGCGAAATTAATGGCGAGGGAGAGGGGTTGAATCCGATAATCGGATTTATTTGGGAAATTTATAAAAGCGATATAGCCATAGGGATTTCACATAGTCTCGTGACGATCCTTACAATGAAGTACGTTTACGTTATTCCGATATTTATCTCCTCTGTTTTGACGCGGCCGGAAATTCTGTAAGTGTACAATTACATTTTACCGTTTTCTCTTTCTGTCAAATATTGTTATTTTAACTTTAATTTTTTATTTTTGATATTAATTTTTCTGCATCCAACTGAGAATCTTTATCATAAATTTAAAAAATGCCTAAACGTATATCATATAGTACAATAATTTATTGTTATACTTCGCTTGTTAGCTTTTTATTTTTCAACTTAATTCCTCTTTAATATTATTAAAAAGCACAATCCAATTCAATCGAAATAAACGTAATTATATTTCCAATAATTATAGAAATATTGAAGGCAATGAATATTCAGATATTGACATAAATAACCTTGTGGACCGTGCCATTCCTCAAATTTCGCAATTTATTATCAACAACGGCCTGGACCCGCTCAATCTCCCACAAACTGAAAAAAAATTATGGACGGTACGCAATACTCTTATAGAATCAATGTACATAGAAAATTTAAAAAAAAATTAAATCGCGAGCTTTTGATCAAGTCGACTATAGACAGTAATCATTTCTCGTAACACATGTTCTACAATAAACCTTTTGTCGCGAAATAAAGGTACAGTAACGAATTATCAGCCCGAGTTTAGCATGAATCCTGTAATACCACTGAGAAATCAGTCGTTTACGTAAGAGAGTTTGCTATTAAAATAAACGTGTGCATGTTCCCCACAATCACGAGAGAAGTAGCCCCGAAAAACGGGAGAAAGCTGGGTTTCGGGGATCAGAGCTGGGATTCGAGGTCAGCGGGCCGCGATACGAAAGCGAGCGCACGTTTAACCTCGGGGCCGTAGAAAGCGAAACCGAAGAGTTGGGCCTTGGTCGAGAGCGAGAGTGAATCCCCGGGATGACACTTTCGAGCGTTGACCTTGGACCGTGGCGGATCACGGCCAAACGCCCAAGATTATCCCTCGCTTCGTTTTCGCCGATCCCATTTTTGACGCTTCGAAGGCCGACGCGTAACAGCTTTGAACTTGGACGATAGCGAAACTGAGGTTTCGTCCGGTAAATCGAGGTGGAAGACGAGCTCGGGCTCAAGTTCAATGCCGCCGTTCAGCGCAGATGCTTAAACTCTTCTCGGTCGGTTGCGAATTAAGTCATTTATCTTACGGCACCGTGAAATTGAATTCGTACCAAAGAGAGAGAAAAATTTTGAAAGCTTTTCACAGAAACTGAGAAGTGAATGAAGTATTTTATAAAATACCAAATAATATTTTATTATCTTGCAAAGTTTTATTACCGAAACTGAATGTTGTACTAATAGTTTTGACATTTGCAAGCATTTCTATCTATTTGACAGAATTAGGTAATAATTAATCGATACATATTTAGTAGAATTATTCGCGTGAAATTAAACGTGATATTTAAGAACCAATTAATTACTTAATTTGAAACATACGATTATTTGCAATCGCGCCAGGAAGGACGTGGTTGTAAAACATCTCCGATGAAGCGCGCACATTGTTTTCGTTTTCCCGGTGCAATGATCTTATTATTTTGAAGCGCGCATGCAGATAATGCAACTGCCACGATAAGCAACGAAATTTTATATCTCATACGTCTTGTCCAACTACCCGCATCGTCGTGTGATTTCGTTAGATCTGGTTTTTGATAAGGCAGAGTTTAATTCAATTGCTTGCGATAAGGAAATTGTACGTCACAATTTTATTGAGACGCAACATAAAAGCTATATGATTTTAATTTTACGCCAGGACCTTTCGGACACCACTATTTCGAACGAGATCGAACCAATGATATACAAAGCCAACCTGATTTTACACTCGGGAATACTGAAACACTTGTCCAATTTGAAGCGTTATGGCGACGCCACCTTAAATTACAAAGATCAAGTGTTACGGTTGGATGTTGGCTTCGAATTTACTCTCTTACAGGTAGCCTGGATAGTACTCTTCTTGTCTTTTGCTTTTTTAAAATAACGTCAAGTCTAAATGCGATAGCATTATATCTAAGTATTTGTCTATAAAATAAAGTATATGCTAAATGTTATTATAGGATTCTTTATCCTGCAAGTAATTTCTTTTATATTCAGGGAACGTACGATTTCATCGTAGACGTGGTCTTTGTCAACCTGAAGGGTCGCATTCTGGTATCAGCGGCAAACGTGCGCGCTAAAATAATCATCACATACAACTCGATGAATCACATTTTATCTCTCGACAAATTTGAATTACAAGTTCCAGGGTAATGTCTATCAATTGTCCATAATTATTGTGTGTGGAGTCTATATCTTTCTCAGAATATATGTTTATTTTAAGAAATCTTTTATAGACTCAATTATTTGCTTACGTGTCATATTATTGCAGCAGCATTAAAGTAATAATCGAAAACAAGAACGGAGGAGTGGATTGGATAAACACATTCATCGCCAATATCGTAACGCCGTTCTTTAAGAACACGATTGTAAGCTCCGTTCAGGAAGAAGCGGCGAATGCAATCCGAGCGCATTTCGATGAAATAAGTCAGGCAATCGTCGAAGGCAAACTGGTTACTCCCGTTTTCGAATACGGAAGCACAAAGGCATGAACGAAAATCGAATGTGGATTTCCTAATGCGATGTATAATTTTATATTCTATGTTTTTCTGAATACATTAAACTTTGTAGATATTTGCGCATTTATTCATCGGTGCAACCTATACGAATCTTTCAAAGTGTTGTAAAGGCTACTAAAAAGAAAATATGTAGAAAGGAGAGAATGCCAATGTGAGCCACAAAATGAACGGAACTCGATTCTCACAATATAGAAACAAAATTACTCTTTAATAGTATAAACGTTTCGAACCTTCTTCGGGTCTTCCTCAGTAAAACTACAATGACTACGTTTCCACCGGGTCAGAGTTGGGCTAGAGTCGGGTCAGAATCGGGTTGGGGTGAGGCGCTCTTGCGGTGGAAACACCAAACCACCAAACACCAACCCGATTGTGACCCGACTCTAGCCCGACTCTGACCCTCGGTGGAAAGGGTGGAAACGTAGTCAATGAGATCATCGAAAGTACAGGATGAGAATACAGTAAAACTTATGATACAGATTGGTTCAACAATAATCATCAGTTACCTCGTTTAGACCGAATAAAGCATATTTTAGGGGGTCAGAGCACTACGTGACTTCAATATCATTCCTCTATCCGGAAATCTTTTCAGTTACACATAGGTACTGGAATTTTTTATATCGTAAAAGTTTCGAAATGCCATTATATCGGTAAGAGGAAAATTTTTAGATTATTCTTACACGCAATACCTAACCGTTTAGAAATATATCAAATCGATAACACGTGATCAATTGAGGGGACAGACGATAAATAGAGAAGAAACCGTCACATCTCCCACAGTTGAATTGATAGTGTAATCATGGTTGGTCAAATACAATTGACTTTCCTCCTCGCGATCGTAGTGTGTATAGTACACAGTGCGCCATTTACAGACAACCAGAACCAGTAAGTTCTTATGCTCATAATTTTTCATAATTTTATTTGCTATCTTATGGTTTCGAGCTAAATCTTCGTGCTGCATTTTACGAACTGGACGATTTATCCTCCTCGCACGTTTTTAATAATGCAAGCGGCAAATAAATTTTGTAACTGTAAAAACTGGCACTTCTTCCATTAAAAAACGAAATGTAAAGCTTTTATATATGTATATTATACATGCACCTACGCATTACGATTTCGTTTAACTGACTCGTGAATAAATGTTCCAACAAATGTGCATTTCTGTATTATGCAGTTCCGTGCAACACGAAGAAACATGGAGGGGCATTGATAAGGCAATTGACACTCTATTACCTTCCACGCGTAAGTTTATCTTGAAGGAAGGAATGGACCCTATGCGAATCGTCAATTGTTCGGAGTACATTTTTCCATTTATGGTATGCAAGGATAAAACTACTAATAAAACTTTTATCTCTGCATTTAATTAGTTTCATAGAAAGTAAGTTATTGATAAATCGGAATTCATCTTTTTAAGACATCAATGACATATATGACTTATTAAAGCGTTTCAATTCGTCTTTCGAAATAATACTTTTAGCCTGGAGAGCTCAAGGGAAATATTTATCTCTACAAAGGGTGGATGCAAAACTTGTCGCTCATGAAACGCACCAAACACGCGTCTGCAATACATAAGGACAAACGTTTGACGTTGGACGTGAATTTGGGATTTGACGTTTTGGACGTAAGTACGAAATCGCAAACAACACGATTCTAATCGATATTAAAACGCCACTGCAATGAACAGAACGAAGATCCCAACTTATATTTATATAATTTTCAGTTTAGCTACCAATATTATCTGACGTATTTACTGTACAATAGAAAGGGCGATTTATACGGTCGTTTATATAAACCTGAGATCAACGTCGTGACGACGATCGATCTAAATAAACACCACTTGATTCTCGACTCCATCAAGTTTACGAATATTTGGTAAATAATACTTTTTTCATTCTTTTTGTGGTTTTTGCTCGTCGCGCATAAAATACTGCGCACAAGAACTTTACGCAATTACGTAAATTGAGCGTGGCATGAAATATTTATCAATTTTAAATATTGTAAATTATTTTCTACCAAAAATGAGTTATTTTTGTAAAGATATGTTAAACAGGTGAGCCATAGCAAAGCAAAATGTAGATAACAATCACAATCCGAAGGTTACAAATTGATAAGTCCAGTTGTAGAAGAACAAGGATAACCTTGTAAAAAGTCTAAGGCCCGGTCTACAATGAGTTGTTAGTCGTTAGTCAGAAGTCGGAACTATATGTCAGTCCTTTTTCTTCTACCCAGAAAGGAAAAGGATCAACATATAGTTGCGACTTCTGACTAACGACTAACGACTCATTGTAGACCGGGCCTAATCAATCTTATGACAGATTTTTCAAGATATACTTTACTAATTTCCTAATTTTGTTATCAACATCTATACTCGCGGCACCTGTTCAAATATCTTGTTTCTACTCATTGTTATAGGATATTGATCTCTTGGTCCGCAAGTTTGTCTTACAAATTTAATTTGTGATTTACCACAAATCATAAGAGTTTGTGCGAATTTCATTGTATAATAGTTTCCTCTTTGCTTTCATGTTTCGCAGGAAAGTCGATATCAAATTCGAAGGTCATCTTTTGGATCGTATTATAAACGCCGTGACTAAAATAATCACAATGGCTTTCGAAAACCACGTGTTAAAGGTCATTGAGAACAACGCCATGTTGGACTTTCACGCAATATTTGATGACTGGAATACAATGACTCCACAGTCAGATCGCATGGAAATAATAAATAGATCGCTCGATATTATGAATATACAGGATTAATCTTTATCGTTCTATATATGAAATGTTTGTTATTTTGTATCCCAAAAAGTCTATTACAAGCATTTCATGTCCGAAATATTGTAATTTAATTGCTTCATAAAATTGAGTATTTCTTTTTTAAGTAACTGACTTGTCGATGTGAAGTATCCTCGCAGGTATACATATAAATTGCTTTTATTCAATAGGAAAATATATCATTATTTGTATTATCCAACAATTTGATATGTGATCATTCTCCACCTTAGATAATGGATGTTATACCTTAATTAGGGAAACACGATTTAGAAAAATAAGATTACATGTGAAAAACACTTAGGCCTACATTCCTTAATATTTTTTTTTGAGCTCTGTAGCTCTCCTTTCTTTTCGTTCTTTCGCTCTTGTCAATGATACTTAACGTTTTGTAACACTTCTAAAGATACGAAGGTTACAAAACGTTGACAGGGTAGACCTTATAGAATAAGTCTATAAAGATAAAACTACGTACACACTTGAGAATCACTTGACTCTAAAAATAAAGTCACATGCATTAAAAAAAAACACTTCAGACCAATCATCTAAACCAACTACAATTTTCCAGATCCTCTTTTGGCACTAGAAAAAAAATTCTAGGAGCAGCAGTTCCTCGACAATTCCTTACGATTTCGGTGCATTCTATTTAAGAAAATTCTTTTTTTTTAAGAAGAATTATTACAAATTTTATAGAAATACGCGTAATTTTTCTGATAAAATACCCTAAAAATATATAAAATATGAAAAATATAGAATAATTATACAACTAAAAATATAATAATTTAAACACTAAAAAGACAAAGGATATAAATTAAATAATATTCTAAGATATAGAAATGTATAACTACATAGTTAAAAATTCTATTCATTGATTAGAACTTTTTAATAGATTCACAAAGTAAAATCTCTTTGAGATATTTGAAGTTACAATTCGTGAAACTGTGACGCAACTTGCGTACTGATTCGTCGAAATCGAATGTTGTTAAAAAAGCATTGTGGAATGTTACTCTAAAGTCTAATTAAATCAAATTGCGTGCCTATAAAGATTTAACGCAATTCAGCTCGTCAATGTTATATATTGTTGAGATTTACAGTAGAGAGCGCCACGTAACAAGATAGAAGACAAAGTCTGCGTCGATAACGAACATCAAAATTCTCTCGGAAGTAGAAATCGACTTTACCTCGTTAAATAGAGATAATGAACGAATCGACGAATAAACGAACATTTACACATATCAAACTTTCTGCTGCAATAAACTGCACAATCCTATAAGATCTTCTAGCTATTCGAACTTATCTCGTCTGACAAAACGAGAAATTTTTGAATTTAATATTTACTCAATGTAAATTAAAATAAATATTATTTACATATAGCTTTAGTTTTTTTAAATATAGTCTCAAATTATTTCGACAACTAACAGTTTGTATTTCAAGCGAGATAACAATGAGATAACGTTCAGATTAGACAATATGCAATGAAACTGCGTTTTATATTGATTCAAGTATATACATATACTTAAGGTACTCCCGATAATATTGTTTATTTCTCTTTTATTCTTTATTCTCTCATCATTCGTTTGGATGGTCGTGCGATAAAGATATAATCGAGGGAATGTTTTTTTTTTATTGATGATTAAAAGGTTAAAGTCGACGAGATTAAAGGAGAGAAAGACTTGATAATCCGACAATCAGATTTATTCGAGGAGTTTATGAAAGCAATGTGGCCACACAAGGATTCGACGTGGTCACATTACACTCACGATAAGGTTATTTACGTTATTCTGATATGCATCTCTTTAGTTTCGGTTAGAAACTTCTTAAATATTTTATCCCCCCTGTCTCTCAAATATTATTTTAACTATAATTTTAATTTTCTACATCCAGAAAAAAACTGTTTTAAATCTCAAAATACTCTTATATTATAGATTTAACTTATAAAGTGAAAAAAATTAATCATGAAAAATGTTGATTATTAATTACGTTCGATTAGATAGCAAATATTTGTCGTAACATGCCGCGCTATAACAAATCTTTCTTCAAGAAATAAAGATTCAGTAATAAATTATAAGCCCGAGTTCAGTGCGAATCCTGTAATACCATTTAGAAACCAATCATTTACGTAAGAGTAGTCAGTAGTGCAGTAAACGCGTGCACGTCCGCTCACAATCGCGAGGTTACCTCGAAAATCGGGAGAAAGCTGGGTTTCGGGGTCAGAGCTGGGATTCGAGGTCAGCGGGCCGCGATGCGAAAGCGAGCGCACGCTTAACCTCGGGGCCGTAGAAAGCGAAACCGAAGAGTTGGGCCTTGGTCGAGAGCGAGAGTGAATCCCGGGATGACACTTTCGAGCGTTGACCTTGAGCCGAGGTGGATCACGGTCAAACACCGAGGTCATCCCTCGCTTCGTTTTCGCCGATCCCATTTTTGACGCTTCGAAGGCCGACGCGCGATAGCTTTGAACTTGGACGAGAGTGAAACCAAGGTTTCGTCCGGTAGATCGGGGTAGAAGGTGAGCTCGGGCTCAAGTTCAATGCCGCCGTTCAGCGCAAATGCTCGAGCTCTTCCCGTATCATATCAGCGGCGAATTAAACTATCTTATCTTACGGTAGCATCATGAAATTGAATTCGTATCAAACAGAGAGAAAAGGATTTTGAAAGTCTTCCATGAGACTTGAGACATGAATAAAATAGTTTCATTATAAAATTTTATTAACAAAATTCAAAATTGTATTAACAGTTTTGATATTCGCAAGTACATTTATGAGTATTTTCTCTCTATTTGATAGTAGTAATTAATAGTAATAATTAATTTACTTATTACTGACAATGAGCAGAATTATTCGCCATAATCGCGTGAAAGTTATATTTGAAGACAAATGAATTACTTAATTTGAAACGCGTACGGAAGACTATTTGTAATCGCAACAAGAGACGTGTTTGTGTAAAACATCGCCGATAAAGCAGATAGATATACATTGTTTTCGGTTTCATGTTACAATGATCTTATTTATTTTGGAGCGTGCATAGAGATAATGCAGTTGCAACGATAAGCAACGATAATTTAGGATATACCTACGTGGGTAAGGAATTTGAGATGAGGTACATAAAGTGATGTGTATAAAATCGTGTAAGGCTCTGTATGTGTCAAAGATCTCTAAATTCATTATCTCGTTTTTTAATTTGTGCAAGATGCCATCGAGTTTTCGCCATGATCTATAATGGCCTAAATGAAACTCCAGTTTTACAATATTGTTTAAATGTTGTGGATAGATGTGGTTGTTTCTACATTGTTTTAGGAAATTTAGCTTTAATTCCGCTTTGATGAGTTTATAATTGGCATCGATCCAATATTTGACATGTAAGGAGGTTTCGTTACCGAAAACTTGTGAGATGTAATTAATATTATAACGGTGAGATTTAAACTGGAGGTTTCTGTACGCATTTCAAGGCCAGCGTGTGTCTAAATTAAAAACAGTATTAGGCTCGTATTAAATTAATAAGATTAGATATAATGGGCCAATAAGCTAAACGGGCCAATAGGCCATCGTCTAGTGAACATTATTAAAATGTTTTAAAACCTACACCGCTCGTTACTGTTTTTAAAATACATTATATTTTTTTATATATTTGTGCATTTATTCAACTGTGCAACCAATAGAAATCTATTGATCGATATGAGGATTTTTTAAAATTGTATATACTGTAAGTTTTAATACTGCAAGTATTCGATAATGCTGTTGTATCAGTAAAAAAATCTTTAGATCGCGATACCTAACCGTTTAGAATATTATCGAATCGATAAAACGTAATCAGATGACAGGAGACGAACAATAAATATAGAAGAAACCGTCACATCTTACGTAGTTGAATTGTTAGCACAATCATGGCCAGGCAAATACAATTGACCTTCCTCCTCGCGATCATAGCGTGTCTGGTGCATGGTGCGCCTTTTGAAATCGAAACGAACGGGTGAGTTCGTGTACTCATAATTTTTCATAATTTTATTTGTTATTTGATCGTTTCGGACTAAATGTTCGCATTTTCCAAAGGGGAAGAATGATCTTTCTCGCATGTTTTTCATACTGCAAGTTGCACATGATTTTGTAATACAGTAAAAATAGTCACGTCTTCTATTAAGAAACGAAATTTAAAGCTTTTATATATATTATGCATAACATGCATTACGGTTTCGTTTAACTGACTCGTGAATAAAGCGTCCAATAAATGTGCATTTCCGTATCACGCAGTTCTGAGCAAGATCTAGAAATAAGGGCGGACATTGATAAGACAGTTGACGCTCTATTACCTTCCATACGTAAGTTTATATTGGACAATGGAATGGACCCTATGCAAATCGCCGATGTTTCCGAACATATTTTCCCACTTTTGGTATGTAAGATCGAAAACTAATCTTTATCCCTGCACCTGTTCGCGTCGTATGCCCCAACGACTAAGACCCGGTTTCACCAAACGTTGCTTACCTTTAATCTCAGTTTAATTCACGCTTGTCTCTTTCTAAAGCGTCAATTGGAAAGAGACAGGACGAATTACGTAAGTTTAAAGTTAAACAATGTTTGGTGAAACCGGACCTAAATCGTCATTTAAATCGTCAATAAAATGACGGTATTGATCGTTGGGGCAAGCTGGAGCACGTTGGGGCACGCGACGCGAACAGACCTTATGATAAATCGGAGTTTATCATTGTTAGATGACATAAAATTCATTTATGTGTCTCATTAAAATCATATTTCGAAATAATAGCCTGGGATACTCAAGGGAACCGTCGACCTCAAGAACGGGTGGATTCAAAACCTGGCGCTCGTAAAACGCACCGGTCACGTGACCGCAATATACAAGAGCAAACGTTTGACGTTGGATATGAATTTGGGATTTGACGTTATGGACGTAAGACGAGCAACGTGATACTAATTAATACTAAATAATACTAAAACCGCCACTGCAATAATTTACAGATAGAACATAACTGACGTTCATTTAATTTTTAGTGTAACTACGAATATTCTCTCAAGTATTTACTGTTCAAGAGACAAGGCGACGTAAACGCTCGTTTCCACCAGCTTGACGTCAACGTTGTAACGACGGTCGATCTGAACGAGTACATTTTGATTCTCGACTCCATCAAGTTTTCGGATGTTCGGTAAATACTGCTTTTCGCGTCCTCTTTATATTTTGTGCTCGCATCGTCCATAAAAGACTGCGTGTAGATAAACCTCACGCGATTTTACGCGGCGTCAAATATTTATATCAATTTTCGGTATCGTGCATTATACTTTATCGAAAACGAATTGTTCTTATCACGGCGTATTGGACAGGTGAGCAGTAGCGAAACAATATGTAGATAATGATTACAGTCCGATATCTGAAGTACAAATTGATAAGTGTCAGGTAGTCGAGGAGCGACGATAATTACCTTGTAAACATTTTAATCAAACGTTACTGCTGGTTTTTTTTATATACCTTACTTTTCTAATTTTGTTATCACACTCT